AAATCTGATGATTATTTTCACTGTTTTTGGCCTAAATGTCAATATAAAACACGATATGTTCATCATTTAACTAAACACCAATTAATTCATTCAGAATTAAGACCATTTAAATGTGATTTTAATAATTGCAATAAAAGTTTTAGATACAAACAACAATTACATTATCATAAAAATACTGTTCATTTAAATGTGAGATTTATTTGTGATTTCAATGAATGCCACAAATATTTTACAACAAAACGGCGTTTATTTGAACACAAAAGTTGTGTTCATTTAAATGAAAGGAAATTTAAATGTAATGAAGAAAATTGTGGCAAAAAATTTGGACAAAAATCAAATTTAATTCGACACAAACGAAAACATTCGGGTGAAAAACCATTTATTTGTAATTTCAAGGAATGTAATAAAAGTTTTAGTATAAAATCTAATTTAACACAACATATGAAAAGACATTTGAATATAAAAAGCTATAAATGTATTCATAATAACTGTAATCAACGGTTTATTACGAAAGGAGAGTTGTCTTCACATTTAAATCATAAATTGCATTAAATAATTAATTACTACAATTAAATTATTATATTATTCATAAAATATATATATACTATTGTATATTGGTTTTATAAATGGGTTTTTTAATAAAATTTTGTTTTTAAATAAATCGTTTTGTTCTTTAACAAAGTTAATTATTTTAAAAAGTTATATATATTTTGATTGGCTCAAAGTTTGCTGACTCTAGCCATGGATACGCTATCATCTGAGTTATTACTAAAGATTCCATTTTCCGGGAATTCCCGAATAAAATAGTTAACAAGATCATCGGGAATTATATACCATTCAATTTAGGGGTTATAATAGACTTATAATATATAAGTTTTATTTTCCCGATTTTTCCCGATTTTGGCCTATTTTGAGAAAATTCCCGATTTTAGCATATTTTTGAGAAAATTCCCGAAAAGTCTATTTTTATGATAAATATTCCCGAAATTAGACATTTTTTGGATAAAATAATTTATTTTATAGCTATTTTATCAAAACTTTTAATAAAATTGAGATTGCTAAATTGGATATAACTGACATCAAAACCTATTCCACGCCATAATACACTTCGAAACAAACAAAAATTACTCTATGATAAAATTATGGTTAAAATAAGGGATGCTGTAAGTGATAATAATGTGTAATTCATCTTATATGAAACTTATCAAATATAATTCATTTCTAAATGATTTAAATGCATAATTATTGTCTTAAAATTGAGGTCCCTGAAAACTGAAAACATAATTCCCGAATTTTCCCGATTTTGACTTTTTTATTCCCGAATTTGGATGTTTTTACTCCCGGAAAATGGAATCTTTACTTATTATCTACTAAGTTAGTACAACCAAGACCAAAATTTTTGTGTCAAAATATGTATGTTCATAACTAAAGCATTGATTTGAAGTTAAATAACTTTTTGTTCCGAAAGCGGAGAACCTCCTGAAAGTTTGGGGGCATACCATATACTACCTTAGGAGTATTTTGGAAGATTTTTATTTCACCTTTTTAGCACCTTTTGGGACGTTCTCACCTTTAGTAACTTTTAAGTAACTTTTCGCCTATTTTGCAAATTTTATATGCCATTTATTGATAAATCACAAAATACTCAATGAGTCNGCAAGCAATGAGTCCGAAGTGAAGGCATTGAAAGCACAGCTCAAGTCAGTCATGGATTCAATGCAGACAATGGCTCAAGAGATTAATGATTTGAATCAAAAATTGTCGACTTGTGATAATAGGTTTGATATAATTAATAAACAAATGCTATATTTTATTGAAACACACATTACTTTCTCAGTAATCAAGAAGTGGTCACAGATTTATGTGATTTATCTGTGAATACCATTATTATTAGTGAACAGATGTCAGCCATGAAAGCGAGTAATGAGTGCGAAATGAAAACATTGAGGGCACAGATCAACACATCTGGAGATTCAATGCAGACAATGGCCGAAGATATCAATGATTTACAGCAAAAGTTGTCGACTTTAGATAAAAGGTTTGATATAATCCTTAAGCAAATGCTATATTTTATTTATAGACATATTGTTATATAAAAGCAATAATTTTTTCAGTAATGAAGGAGTGGTTACAGATATAGAGGTGTTGTCGGAAAATGTGATTTATTTAAGTGAAGAGTTTCCCAATTTTATGGTGAGGACTGAATCCGATATAAAGACACTTAAAGCTGATCTTAAGATAGCCATGGATTCAATGCAGACAATAGTTGCAGATAATAATGATTTGAAGCAAAAATTGTGTGAAATGTCGACAGAAAACAATGAATTGAGTGAAGAGTTGTCGGCATTGAAGGCATCAAAACATATCATTGAATCCGATGTTAAACAATTGGCTCAAGAAATCAGTGATAAGAATATTAGGTTTGATTTTAATAGCAATTCAATGAAAAATTCAATTAATTTGTATTTTTATGTTTAAACAGTTGTTCAGCGAGTGTTGAACAGGACTTGTCCTCAAACTCTTCATCGATCGGATCCCACAATCAATTGACCACTAATTCAGACAAAACCAGAGATGAGACCAATATTCAGGAGATATTCACTGAAATCAGAGATCAAATCAAAGATCAAAACAAAATAACAAACAATTTATTGAATGCATTGTTGAGAGAGAAGGAGAAGTCGTTGACAGCACTCGAAGGCATCACACAATCGGTCGAAGACTTGGATGACAGCGAATGCATGTATTGGCAAAGTATTGGCACACTTTGGGAATAACACAACGATTTATATAAAGATTTTTATATTGTATTACAAATGATTTCAAATTATAATTTACTTTTATTACAACTATTATTTTATTTAATGTAATGATTGACATTTAGAATTTAAAATTACTAAACTTTTATTAAATTGCTTTTCATTTAAATTATCATATTTTTTTTTTGTTCAAATATTATAAATATAAGAATGTGTTTTTTGTTGCAAAACATTTGTGGGATTTATTTAAATTGCAAACAAATATCACATTTAATCTCAACTATTTTTATCTAGTGAAGAGGGGGTGGGAGTGAAAGAATCTGGCACAATTATTTAACAAAAATATATTTACCAGCATTGTATATTCTCATAAAGTATATGTAGACTTAAAATAAAAAATTATAAGTGCATTATGCACATGGATAAACTTTATAAAAGTACATTTTTTAATAAGATAATACATAAATAGACCTAGTTTTTAAATACACTAATTTACAGTAACCACCATGAAATAAATTATGTTTACAATTAGTATAGTTTTAAATAAAATAAAACAACATAATAAAATATTTAAATAATTCTTACATTTAATAATAAATTTACTATTTGTCAATTACCTATAAAATAAATGTAAATAAATATAAAATTAACAAGTAAATTAACCAGGATAAGCCTGTATGTATCCGCATAAAAAACATATAAAAACTTAAGCAAAATAATTATTACAAGTATTTTCTAATCAATAATTAAAACATTGCGAAACAAAAGAATTTTTTAAAAGTTATTTCCCATTGAAAACAATGTCTTTATCATTAAGTTTAATCATATGCATAGCGTTTACGGCATTTATAGCCAGTTTGTCCCCAATCTCTGGCGCCGACCCAACCGTTGACGTCAAGACCAGCTCCGGTACAGTGAGGGGACACACCATACAAGTGCTCAGCAAACCTGTCAACGCGTTCATTGGTATACCATATGCTGAGCCACCGGTCGGGCCGTTACGGTTTGCGAGGCCTAAACCACTGACCAAACCATTGCCGGTAATTATTTAGCATTAAATGCAAATTAAATTAAATTTTAATGTAATCACTCTTTAATGGTATACATTTAAAATAGTATTAAAGTACAACTAAAACTAAAAATAACAAAATAAACAAGTTCGTTAATTATTTAGTTGTAAAAATACTATTTATGTAATATACAAAATTATTATCATGGTAAATGAACATGTGTATATTTTTTATATCAGGGTATAATCGATGCGACCAAACCTAAAAACTCATGCATGACTGGCGGCACCGGTCAGATGGGAGAGGACTGTCTGTATGTAAACATATGGGCCCCGCATAACACTACGGGAGCTTTAAAGCCGGTGATGTATTGGATATACGGCGGTGGTCTCGGCTCCGGTAGCATATTCTCGGGCGCCAATGACGGCAAGGCTTTGGTTGCCAACGATGTGGTCGTGGCGTCGGTTAATTACCGGCTCCGCACGTTTGGCTTTCTCTATGGAGGGCCCGATAGCGACGCGCCCGGGAATATGGGTTTCTACGACCAGGTGCTCGGTTTAAAATGGGTAAGTTTGAAACATATTATGTGTATGATTTGCATAGTTTGATTTTTTTTGTGTGTAAATTATTCTTGTATAAGATGTAAATTGTGATCATAAACTTATTTTACAATACAAAGATTTCTACTTTGGCTAACTTTATGCTAGTGTTAAATATAAAAAATACTATCGTCAGGTTGGGCCAATACCAAATATTATTAATAATATTGTAAATAATTTTATTATTACTAATATTACTTATAAATTACAGTGTGTACAATAATCTGTAATCTACAATCAATAATCTCTCTCTCTCTCTCTCTCTCTCTCTCTCTCGCCCTCTCTCGCCCTCTCTCTCTCT